ATGAGCGCTAGTATATCTAACATCAGGTTGGATTTTAGTTTTCATGTTTGTTCTGGTAAGGTACATATCATCACTTACCATAATGATCTGTTCCTACAAATGTTTTTCCTAACCAAAATTGAAGAAGTAAAATCAACTTATGGTGGTTTTACATCATCAGAAAATAACGTTATTCACCTAGCAGTTCTAAAATATAGACACTTTTATTCTTGCAAGATTGAATGTATTGCCCTCGGCTGTACTTGAGGGACAATTCCAAACGAAAAATGCTTATGTCCCTGTGGAGATGGCAGTACCGAATTGGTGGCGCATGCCCATCTGGCTTGCACTCTTTATAAAGACTTGAGGAATGAGGTTATCATCCCTCTTTTATTGTCCATTCTGGGTTGCCCAGCCACTGCCACGGCGTCCTTTCTCTTGGCAGATCAAGATGAGCAGGTGACAGCAAAGGTTGCAAGGTTTTTAGCAGGGGCAATTCAAATAAGATCTACTATTTGACTACTGATTCAAAACCCTAAAATGTATTTTATATAATTGACTTTTTATTTCTATTCTTGTATATCATATTGTTGTTTTAATGCTTTGGCCGATGGCTGATGCAAATAAAGATTCATTCATTCATTCACATGTTATTCAATTTTATATATAAAAAAATATTTGGAATATTTATAAACCACTAAACATTATAAAAACCATAGTGGTATACAACAATAAAACAGTACAAGTAAAACAAGTAAAAACTGATAAAATAGTTATTAAAATAAACGACAATGAGATACTGCCAATTGAGTCCTGAGATGGTTACAAAAACAACAGGTTACAATTAAATAAATGGATTTAGCATATACTGTGCTCCAAAGTGCTAGGTGCCCCCAAACCATCAGTAATATGTTTTGTAAACTTCATTCTGGCCAACCATCAATACTGATGAGTCCCAAGGTTATTGTCTCATCGAGAGAATGTTATAATACCCACATATGCAAAATGCTTAGAGCAGTGAGCTGCATTATCACAGACTAAATGTCTGACAGAGGCCAAACAGAGTTAGCTGTTGTTTTTAAATATTAGATTTTGACAAGTTACTTCATTGAAATAGAGTTTTTAATAGAACATTGCAAACTATGGCTTTCTGTTTGTCTTCTTGTGTCTTGTCAGATATAAATGCTGTGGATTTGCAGGCATTTCCAGCCATTGTGGTGCAGAAAGTCATAAAAGCTCTAAAACTGAATTCTGAAGAAGCCAGGTTGAAATTTCCCAGGCTGTTGCAAATTGTAGAAAAGTACCCAACAGAGACTTTGGGCCTCATGGCACAAGAGGTGAGCCTTCCCTTCCCTGTGGGCAAACAAAAATATAAGGTTGGTTTTGATATGACATAAAATTATTCAGGGTAGTAAAAATAAGAAGGGATTGCAAAGAGCTTTGAAAGGATCTCTCCAAACTGGGTGAGTGGGCAATAAAATGGTGCAAATGCATTCCAGCGTAAGCGTAAAACTGCTTTAGCAGCTGAACACAAGATTCCCCTTTTTAATTCCCAGTTTAGTTAAGAATTCTTGTTTATTTCTGTGTTAACATTCTTAGAAACATGCTGTAATGTGCTTTGCAAAGTCAACACTTGATGCAAATTTGATATCATCCATGCACATTACCAGACGAAAGTTTCAATAGGGTAAATGCTGCATTTTATTCTGTTGGCTCAGCTGAGATGGGTAGAAGAAATGGGTATTGTTTGCTTTTCGCCACCTTCACATACATTACATGTTTTTTAAATAGATTTCCTCAGTACCCTGTTGGCAGTTCATTGGCTGGATCAGCCAGTTGATGGCGATGCTTGACAAGGAGGAAGCAATTGCCGTACAACATGCAGTGGAAGAAATTGCCAACAGCTACCCGCAGGCCTTAGTGTATCCTTTCATGATCAGCAGTGAGAGCTTTTCTTTCCAGGAAACTGTCGTGGGCCATAGGAATAAGGAGTTTGTAGCAAGGTGAGGATGTTGAGCGATACATTTTTGGAAGCAAATAATCTTTATTGCTGGTAACAAGAAATTATACATTCCAAAAAGCACATACACCAGTCTCAAGTTTACAGTATAGTACATTTTAAATTGAAGCGTTGGAGGTAGGCATTGTATCTTAAGAAATATAGGCGTTTCCCTTTTCTGCACTTCCTTAGCTGTTAAAGAGTCCCAATTTTGTAACATACTTCTCAGCAAAATTAAAAGTAACAGCTGTTTTTATTTTCCTCCTCTTCTGTTGAGTGGTGTCCAATGCTTGCCTTCTACTGAGAGAAAGCCTCTGCCTGTGGAATGGTAGAGGGAGGCAATTTTCAGCGATGCTTCTTTTCCCCTGCAGTCCCCCACTCCCTCCAATATGTTCTGGAGAATCCCTCCACCCTCTGGAGCAAATTTTGAGAGGGATAGGTGGCAAGGCAGAGCATGAATTGCTATAAATTGCTTCCTGCCCCTAGTCCACCAGCTGGTGTGTTTTCTGTCAGTAGAAGGAAAGCCTTGGATACCACTTGGTCACTTAATGTGAAGCTTACTTCTGGTTCTTCTGCAGGAGGCATCCAGCCCCACCTACCGTATTTTTCGGCCCATAGGGCGCACCGGCCCATAGGACACACCTAGTTTGTTTTTTTTGGGGGGGGGAATAAAGAAAAAAAATTTATTTCCCCCCCAGGCACGGGGCTTCCCCCGACCCCAGCCCCCAGAACAGGCAGCTCTCCACAAGCCGTGGGAGAGCTGCGCGAAGCCCGAAGCCTGGGGGGCGCTGAGCTCAGCGCGCCCCCAGGCTTCGGGGTGCAGGCAGCTCTCCACAAGCCGTGGGAGGGCTGCCATGGGAGGCTCTGCGCTTTGGAGGCTTAGCATTGCTATCGCTGAAGCCAAGGAGCCTGCATTCGCCCCATAGGACGCACACACATTTCCCCTTCATTTTCGGAGGGGAAAAAGTGCATCCTATAGGGCGAAAAATACGGTAATTTGCTAAGGGAGCTGTTCTAAGTTATTGCAGGAATCTATAAATTAGATTCACATGTTTTGTTTCATGCTTCCTCATGTTTTGTTTCATGCTTGCTTTTGCTTCTCTTCTGCTTAGCGGCACGATGGAAATGGGGAGGAACCTTGCCTAGCCAGTACAAGTCTGGATTGCATATCCTCACTGCCTAGGCAGGGGGGTGGGGGACATTTAACCCATTTTTACCTAAATTATCGGGAGGGATGCGGGTGGTGCTGTGGTCTAAACCACTGAGCCTAGGGCTTGCCAATCAGAAGGTCGGCAGTTTGAATCCCTGTGACGGGGTGAGCTCCTGTTGTTCAGTCCCAGTTCCTGCCCACCTAGCAGTTTGAAAGCACGTCAAAGTGCAAGTACATAAATAGATACCGCTCCAGCGGGAAGGTAAATGGCGTTTCCGTGCGCTGCTCTGGTTTCTCCAGAAGTGGCATAGTCATGGTGGCCACATGACCCAGAAAAACTGTCTGCAGACAAACGTTGGCTCCCTCAGCCAGTAAAGTAAGATGAGCGCCGCAACCCCAGAGTCATTCATGACTCGAGGGGTCCTTTTTACCTAAATACCTCAAGCACACTCACCATTAAGTGATAAATAATTCTGTTTGAGTATTGCAGTTTAAGAAAGCTTCTTTGGTGTTTTATGGAGGAATTGAGCTATATTATCTATTCACAAAGCAGAAGAAAATGCTTCTGCGATTATATTTCCTCTTCCCTTTGTTGATGATTTATTCTTTATAGGTTGAAGAACAAATTGGACAGAGGAGGAGTGGTGCAAGGTTTTGTCCATGCCCTCGAGCAGCTGTCCAACCCTGCAATGCTCTTCAAGGTACAATAACTGAATTCTTCATACTCTGAGGGGATGTGTGATGTTTAAATGCATGCATGTGCTTTTTGAGTGTTGAGGGCACACCTGAATAATTATTGAAGCAGCCCGGTTTCCATTAGTAGCTGCTATGTTTTAACTTTTGTCCTTTGGTTGGATGCGAGACGTGGTAAAGTGGTGTTATTCTGGATTCACAGGATTGGACTGAAGATGTTAGAAATGAGCTGGGGAAAACTAAGAAGAGTAAAAATAACATCCAGGAGTTGTATGATGGAATGATCCAGAATCTGGGAAATTTACAGGCTCCAGGTCTTGGGCTGTACAGAAAGAAGTTCATTCAGGCATGTATTAATTATAGCACCTTTGGTTGAATGTTTTACATGTATAGCAGGAAAGTTAAAATATAACATGGAAAACCTGAATTAAATAATTGCATTTTATTATGGCCCCGAACATGCCTTGCACATCTGTATAGGCTTCAGAAATGGATGTTGTAGTTAAGTGTATTATTTACCACCACAGTCCTTGACCCTTTGTGTCATGGAACATTAGCAAGAATTAAAACAGTTCTAAAGGAGTGCAATCTGTGGTTCGTAAGATCAGGAATATGATTTCCAGTTCTAGCCCAAGTATAGCCACTGGTACTTTTGTTCTACTACAGAGATGTAACTGGTACTACTGAGTGGAGAGGAGTTGTCCTTCATCTGCATTCACAACTTCTGTAGGTTTTCTGGGTTTATCCATAGGAACAGCTGAGGCATATGTAAGTCAGTGCTGACCAGAGCTCAGTAAGAATTGCGGTTCTACCAATTTGAGATACTAGTAGTTGGCTGCTACATTACAGGCATTGCATAGGAGTATGTCAAACACCTGCCTGTGATAGGGTGCAAGAGAAATTTAATAAGTTCTGGCATTTCACCAAGTAGTATTTCCTCCTCATTCAGCTATATCAAGTGATGAACTAGTTTAAGTACTTGGGCTGTTAACAAGAGTGAAAAATTATCGTGTGATTAAATTTCTGCTTCAGAAATTTGGGAAGGAATTTGACAAACACTTTGGAAAAGGAGGTTGCAAGCTGCTAAATATGACAGACAGGGACTTCAACAGTATTGTGGAGCCTCTTTTATTAAAGATGAGAGATTGTCAGAAAGAACCTGGAAATCTGAAGGAGTGCACAACTTGGATGAGTGACTTCAAACCAGAATTCTTGAGGACTGAGCTGGAAGTTCCTGGTAAGCTATGGTTTCAGTTGGTAATCGGGAGAATATTCTTCCATTGCTAAATGAAATAATGGTTATTAAATTTCATTTTCGTTTAATACGCTGCATAGTTAAGACCTACAGAGTGACTGACTGACTGACTGACTATCTATTCTTACAAGTAGATAAACTTTTATTCTTTGGCAGATACTTTCTGACCATTATGACTTCTTCTAAGCAACTTGTGCAGGACGTAACTTTTATTTTGCAGTTCCCTCCAAATGTATTACCAAAATCTAGTAGCTCATGTTAAAATAAATATATACCAATTTCAATGAATGATTGTGGTTGGAATTTATTTTAAAACCTGCAGTGGACCTAAGAGCCACAAAGTTGCAGTGCCTTGCTGGTGACGTGTCTGAAGCACAGAATATGTGGGCTCCTGTGCGAGACACTTTTGCTCCTTATTTGCCACTGTTCAGGACCAAGTGCCACCATGTATCAAGGTGGCACTTGGTCCTTAGCAGCCACAGTCTTTTCTAAAAGAAAGGAAACTGAGCTGGGGGTTGTTCCCTGAAACCAGTCTCCTCTGAGTCTGACATGGTTAGCAGGGCTGATAACCAGCAACTTACTTTGAGGGCAGTTTTGCTGTCACGATCAGGATTGTTAGAATAATGTTGGGAGCACACCCAGCACAAACAAGATCATGAGAAGAGTCTCTTAGCCACAGGAATTTTCTGCCAGTATAATGTTTCTACCTTACTCAGCAATTGTGGATAGGGTAGAGGGCATGCTGACCAGGACAGGAGGTCAAGGGACAGATTTTTGCTTTTTTTAATCCTTCTCTCAGTTGGGACCAGTGGGGGGAAATTAACCATGCCTAGCACAGCCCAGGGCCTCTTAAAGGGGCCTTGCACCCAATACTTCCTGTAACCTGGCTCCAGAATGCCCCATTCTGCAGGATACAGATGTCAAAAATACCACCAGCAGTAGCTTTACACCCATGGAACTCTCTGCAGCTGATTCCCCCCCCCCCCCCCGTGGTAAAGGGGCACTTTCTCTGCATGCAAATCCCACCCCCTCCATCCACTAGATCAGTAGGCTAGGAATGCACTGTTAATCGCATCAATGTTTTGAAAGCTCAATTAAAGCATTACATTTTATTTATTCAGGTCAATATGATGGTAAAGGAAAACCATTGCCAGAATATCATGCACAAATTTCTGGATTTGATGAGAGGGTATGTTACTATATTAATGTGCATATTTTTTCATGTGTCTATTGAACGGTAAAGGTACACTTACCGATATATTAATAAGTGTGCATTGTGCATATAAACAGATATCACCCACATCTGATGAAATTTTATATCTATAGTAACTTTTTTCTGCATTCTCACACTGCAGAGAAATGCAGATGGACTTTCTTCTATAACGTAATTTGTATATTGCAATGTTTTCTCACCCTTTCTTGAGTGAAAACCTTTCTCCACCCCATTTTGTCCAAGATAAAAGTTATGGAGTCCATCCGGAAACCAAAGCGTATAATTATCAGAGGTAGCGATGAGCGGGAATATCCCTTTCTTGTGAAGGGAGGAGAGGATCTCCGGCAAGACCAGCGCATTGAGCAGCTCTTTGATGTTATGAACACCATCCTTTCAAGAGATGCTGCCTGCAGCCAAAGAAACATGAAATTAAAAACTTACCAAGTTATACCAATGACTACCAGGTAGGCGCTTCCTGACCTCCTTCCAATATAGTATATGTGCTCCAGTCTTCGCTGCATGAATTAGGAGGAGGAATGTCTTTACAGCAGGCCCACCATATAAGGAAAACCTTGGAACATCTTTTGTAGGGTTGCTTAACACCAGTAATTACAAACTGGCAATTTTTCAGCAACACTTTGCTGTGTTGCTTGTTTAACTGCAAGGTTTACTGTGTCTTCCCGTGAGCTCATAATTTTAAATGTGTGAGATATCCTGAAGAGCAGGCTGTGCATCTTTGCACTACCCAACCATCTTCCTTGACCATTTCCTATGCATGGCTTGTCTGAGCCTATAGAACATGGGGAAGATTTATCTATAGAGAAACAGTAGCAACCAGGTAAATCCATGCATCAGAGCAAGAAAGGAAGAAGCAGCATTAGATGCCTATCATAATGTTTAGCTGGTGCTTTATACCCCCTTATAAATGGATACATATAATTTGCTTGAGTGAAGCAGGGGTTTTTTTCAAACTTTACCTCTTGCTTACCTTTTTAATTCTTGTGTGAATGACATTTTAATACACTTTAAGTAGTGAAGCTAAAAAGAAAAGAAAAAAGTGTCTACTAGTTTGCATCCTCTACATTTTCTGTGTTTGTTGTTACCTTGGCTATATTTTCTTTCAGACTGGGGCTGATTGAGTGGCTTGAGAACACCTGCACTTTAAAGGAGTTCCTTCTGAAGAACATGTCTGAACAGGAAAAAAATGATTATAACAGGTAATGAAGGTGCATAAATCTGTTTCTTGGATGTTAATGGCATTCTTTGGAGATAGGTGAAGAATTGTGACAATAATATCCATAGGAACAATTAGCATTAATCATCAGAAGTCAGAGTACTTCCTATCTTAGATTAATAATTGGCAGCTATTTGTTTAACAGGTGACACTTCACCTCTGACCTACATTTTCTGTCTGCTTCTTTAAACAAAGAGCATGTATCACCCCTGGCTTCTTCATCATTTTCTTATCAACAGATTGCTTTTTACAAGCAAAGGATTTTTTTAAATGTTAGTTTGAATTAGGAAGTGAACTTCAGTCAGAATGGAGGGTAGTATAAATGCATGTTCAGCATTGAAATCAATGGAAATGGGTTAGAATTCCTGCGATGGAGAATAAGGAGAATCTGGAGAGCCACAACTCTTAACTTCCTGTTGAGTGTGTTCCATTTGTAAAATTGAGTTTCCTGCTGGTATGGGAAAGCAGTTTAAGAATGCTTTGGTTTAAGAATGGACTTCCAGAACAGATTAAGTTCATAAACCAAGGTACCACTGTGTTGAAATTCATGAGCATGGTTAAGTTAGTTCCATTATATTCCAGTGGGTCTGCTCTGAGTACGTGAGTTAAATACCATTCAGTATTCAAAGAGAGGGACGCGGGTGGCGCTGTGGGTAAAACCTCAGCGCCTAGGACTTGCCGATCGCATGGTCGGCGGTTCGAATCCCCGCTGCGGGGTGCGCTCCCGCTGCTCGGTCCCAGCGCCTGCCAACCTAGCAGTTCGAAAGCACCCTCAGGTGCAAGTAGATAAATAGGGACCGCTTACCAGCGGGAAGGTAAACGGCGTTTCCGTGTGCGGCTCTGGCTCACCAGAGTAGCTTCGTCACGCTGGCCACGTGACCCGGAAGTGTCTGTGGACAGCGCTGGCTCCCGGCCTCTAGAGTGAGATGAGCGCACAACCCTAGAGTCTGGCAAGACTGGCCCGTACGGGCAGGGGTACCTTTACCTTTACCTTTATTCAAAGAGAATACTAATAAACATAACATTCATGTAGAAAGTACTAATATTCAGAAACTATTTCTTAGCTAGTGAAGCAAATTATAAGTTATTCTTTACATGTTTACACTTTTAAGGAGGTAGTTGTGGAATGAATTGAATTAACAATGCTTTATTGTGCCTCATTTGGGGTGTTTTTCACTGAGGAAGAACTTGCCATTGTGCTCAATGCTGAAGAATCGGTTCATAAAGCTGTAGCAGCTGTATGTTACTTGGAAGAAGACAGAAGGAAATGACAAAGCTTGCTTAATGTGGTCACGAATGTGTTCTGCAAGTCAGGAACTTGTGTAATACTAGGTTGCCTATTGAAATAGAAATTTGCTATAAACAAACATTTAGGACAAAATATAGTAGACTCAGTGCTTCCTAGGAGCTCGTTCTTCAATGATGCTTGGAAAACAGCATCTCCCTAAGTGCACTCTCAGAAATGGTTTGATTCATTAATTGCTCTTTAACAGCACAGTAGCCCAATGCTTGGTGTTCCTTTCAGGTAATATAGAAGTAAATTACTTGCTTTCCCCCCTTTTTATTCAGCTACAAGGGTCCTCGTGCTGATTATACTGACTGGCTGTCCAAGATGGCAGAGAAGAATACAAGCCCTGTTGCACGCTACACATACATGTACAAGTGAGTCTTAGAAATAATTGTTACCCATTTATCTCTCAGTGGCTTGTGATATCAACCATGCTATCCTTCAACAGCTGTCCAAGTCAGGGGTGGGTGGCACCACTTCCACCAGTTCTATGATCATGTGAGGCCCTTCTTCATGTGCCTCCTCCACGAGAGGTCTGGAGGGTGGCAACACTAGAGCAAGCCTTTTCTGCAGTGGCTCCCTGCTTGTGGAATCCTATCCCCAGGGAGACTTGCCTGACACCTTTGTTACATATCTTTAGCTGCCAGGCAAAAACATTCCTCTTCTCCCAGGTCCTTTGGCCAACTAAACAATCCATGGCCTTTTAAACTGTGTGTGGGCAGATTATTTTGTTTTCGTTTGTCACAAAGGTTTTTTTGTGCTTTTATATTGTAACCCCACCCTATGTTCCTTGGGTAAGGGTGGTATAGAAATTCAAATGATGGTGATCATTAAGTTTCTTCCCTTACTAATGTGGCAGAGAGATTCTGGTTGTGCTGCTGGCTACTGGCTCATGCCCACAGAAAAATTGGGAGTTAGAAACCCACTTCTTCCTTTTTTAAAAAAAAATTCTGCAGTGACTGCAGGCACATACTGGTGTCCCTTCCCCATTCTTGCATTGGCTTGAAGAAGCCGATTCTTACAGAAAACATTTCTCAGGGCACCAACGATAAAGGGCAATATCAAATGGTGCTGTCCTGCTTGCATAACATATCTGCTTGCACAAACAGGAAGTTCCTTTCTGCAGTCTCCCTCCACCCAGCCTACTCTAGAGGTTGTGGAACCCACCAATGCAGGTGGACATGGAGCTCTGCCAGGTCTGCTGCTACCATGCCTTGCCCACCATCTCTGCTTCGGAATATAAGAGCATATTGCCGGTCCAAAATGTTCAATTCAACCTAAGGGTGGGTGGGTGGGTGGGTGAAGCCAGTTGTCTCTGCTTGATTCCCATTTTCTAATTATATGGTTATAATTGTCATTGCTTTGCTCACTTCTAGGAGAGCTGATCGTAAAGAAACAGTGATGTCTTTCCATCGCCGAGAGAACCGTGTTCCTGAAGACCTGTTAAGGTGTGTTCTTGTGTAATATGGATTTCAAAATAGTACCGAGGATTAATGTTGCTGAATGAAGGGTTGCTTCCAGTAATCCTCATATGGCCTCCTCATTTTTCCACATGCAGGCTGCTGGCCCGCAATTCCTATTAAAAACAAAACAAAACACCAACCCTCTCTTTGGGCCCTTCAGACTTCAGCCTGTGCCACACTGATAATCATCTAGCCCCTTCTCCAGTTTCCGATTATTAGCATGTGGGTGGAACAATGAGGAAGATGGGCATCTCTTTGTTCTGAATTCATGATGTTTCCCCTTGTTAGAAACAGCCGAAGCCAATCTTAATATGTATAAATATATTGCTTTTTTTAAGGAGGGCCTTTGTTAAGATGAGTACAACACCGGAGGCCTTGCTATCTCTGCGATCCCATTTCGCCAGCTCCCATGCGTTGATGTGCATCAGCCACTGGATTCTTGGTATTGGAGACAGACACTTATCCAACTTCATGATCAGCATGGAGACAGGTGGCATGGTGGGAATAGACTTTGGACATGCGTTCGGTTCTGCCACACAGGTATTCTCCTTTTCAAACTGTTTTTTTGGAATATTAAATTGAATGGAATGCTAATAGGTCAGGGGGATTGTAAAGATTCAGAATCGCTCTTGCTTCCTCTTTGGGATATTTATTTATTTTGCTTGTTAGTCAGGTGGAGCAGGATCTTGCATGATACTGCCTGTCCCCCCGCCCCACTTTTTCAACCTTGCACACTACTTAATGACACTTTCTGGTTTTCTTCAAAGTCTTTATTAGGCGTTACAGATATAGACCATCTTAAAACATCTCTATGCAAAATTTTAAAAATACAGTGGTGCCCCGCAAGACGAATGCCTCGCTAGACGAAAGGGTTTTCCAGTTTTTGAGTCGTTCCGCAAGACGAATTTCCCTATGGGCTTGCTTCGCAAGACGAAACGTCTTGCGAGTTCTTGCGAGTTTGTTTCCTTTTTCTTAAAGCCGCTAAGCCGTTAATAGCCGCTAAGCTGCTAATAGCCGTGCTTCGCAAGACGAAAAAACCGCAAGACGAAGAGACTCGCGAAACGGATTAATTTCGTCTTGCGAGGCACCACTGTATATGCAAAGAAGCAGCCACAGAAGATATATAGTAATAGAACTTTTTGAGTGTCTTCCTGTTAAATCATGCCATTCACCCACTCTAAGAGATTCTGTTGACAGAAACTCAGCCACCCTCGCACCTCCAGGTTAATATCAGACAGGTAGAATCTGATATTTTCATTGTGCCATAATGTTAATTATGTATTTTCCCTCTTTTTGGATAGTTTAAGTACCGTAGCTGCTTGTACAGTGGACAGTAGAAAAGAATATGTTCTACATCTGCAATGTCTATCATTTCGAGGGATGTTTAAATATCTGCCCTTAAGGCTGAGGGGAAAACATTCAGTTGGGCTAACATGAATGCACTGTGTTGGGTTGGAATTACCATATTTTTCGCTCCATAGGACGCACTTTTTCCCTCTTAAAAACTAAGGGGAAAAGTCTGTGTGTCCTATGGAGCGAATGCAGGGGGGGAGGCAGGCAGGAAAAGCCCCCAAGAGCCGCACACAAGCTTCGCGTGGCTCTTGCGGGCTTTTCCCCAGGAGAGAGAAGGGACCGCCGTTCCCCAACCTGTTCTGGGGGCTGGGGACGGGGGAAGCTCGGGCTTCCCCCGCCCCCACGTCCAGGAGCGGAGGCAAGGCTGCCTGAAACCCCCTGAGCGCAGCAGCAGTTCGCGCTGCGCTCCGCGGGTTTCAGGCAGCTACCCGCAAGCCTTCGGAGAGCAGCGGGAGTTCTCGCTGTGCTCAGAAGGCTCGCGGATAGCCACCTGAAGCCTGGAGAGTGGGAGGGGTTGGTGCACACCGATCCCTCTTGCTCTCCAGGCTTCACTTTGCTGGAGAGGCGCGGCACAGTTTTCCCTCTCTGCGCAGCGCTTCAGCGAAGCGGGAGGAGAAATGGAAGGGGCTCCGTTTCTCCTGCCGCTTCGCTGAAGGGGTGCTGAGCAGAGAGGGGGAGAATTTTTCCCCCTGTTCTCCCCCTCCTATGGTCGGGTGCGTCCTATAGAGTGAAAAATACGGTACTAGTTTTGAGATATACCGTATTTTTCGCTCTATAGGGCACACCTAGTTTTCAGAGGGGGAAATCAAGGAAAGAAATATGATCCCCCCCCCCAGCTCTGGGAGAAGTGGACAGGCTGCATGCAGCCTGTGCACTTCTCCTTGCTATTGTGGGAGGTGGGGGAATTCCCCCACCTCCCGCAAAAGCGCACAGGAGCTGCACACGACTCCTGCGGGCTTTTCAACCAGGAGGGAGAAGGGACTAACGCGGCCAGTCGGTCCCTTCTCCCTCCTTGGGGAAAAGCCCCCAAGAGCGGCACGTTCTTTAAAGGCTGCGCGGCTCCTGCGGGCTTTTCTACGAGATGGGTGAATTCCCCCACCTCGTAGAAACGCCCGCAGAAGCCGCGCACCCTTTAAAGAGCGCACGGCTCCTGCGGGCTCTTTGACCCAGCTTGTGGGGCTGGCGCTGGGCGGAAGCGCTACTTTCCCCCACCACCAGCCTCAAAACCAGGTGCGGGAGCAGCGCAAAGGTGTCGCGCGCCTTCCCGCTTCCCCCCGAGCTTGTGGGGGTGGGGGGGAAGCGCTGCTTTTCCCCACCGCCAGCGTCAAAGACCAGACTCCTGGCTTCAGCGAAAGCAACGCGAAGCCTCCGGAGCGCAGGCTTAGCATTGCTATCGCTGAAGCCAAGGAGCCTGCATTCGCTCCATAGGATGCACACACATTTCCCCTTAAATTTTGGAGGGGGAAAAGTGTGTCCTATAGAGCGAAAAATACGTTAAGTGATCCTGTTATTGGTTGTATTTAACCCATAGAACTTGGGGGAGCAGATTTTCTTTACAGCTGACTCAATGTTTTGTTTTTCAATATCCCTTAATCTAATTTAGATATTATAAATATATAGTTCACTAGAATTATACATTAATTTCAAGTTTGTTGTTCTTAATACAGAATTAATATTATTGTAACATCTGCCAAATAAAACTCAATATCAAAGGTTACCTCTCCTCAGATATCCCTAACACGAAAGATGTAAAATAAGGTTGTTGTGTTCCTGCCCCATTCCTCTTTTTTTTATCAGATCTTCCATAGCACATCCAAAAAACAGAATCACATGCCCCCCAAATTAACCAAAACCCAGTCCCACTTTTACTGTATGCGGATGATGCGACCTTATTATCACTGATGAGGATAGGTTTGAATTGTCCTTTTCTTCATTATAATATTTTTAAAGTATGCATACTCACCTGGAACATTCAGGGAATAGTCCAGCCATTTTAAGCAGGAGCTTGTTGTCATAGCAGAAGACTGGAAAAATCAAAACATGGTATTCAACTAAGTTTTATTCAAGGAAGACCCACTGAAATTAATGGCCCTAACTCCCCCCCCCCCCAATGTTGAAGCACGACAATCTTTTTAAAACAAAAAACAAATAAAACCACCTCTATCACTATAATACAGTATTAGTAAAACCAAGGTGGTGAGGACCTGGATCTCCAATTCATGGTGGCTACAGAATGGATCACCTTAAATTGTTGAGTAAAAAGGCAGAAAGGAGAGCAAGATTTACATGGGCCAAAAACAGAGATGGCAAGCTGAAAGCTCCCTGAAGAAAAGGCAAGATAAACATATGCTGGTTTCATTAAAAGCAATTTCCCTTAAATATTATACTGAATTCTGCCTCTCCATAAATGACCTGTATGAAAGAATTATGAATCCTGGTGTATGAAGGAAAAGAGCAATTGTTAGTGGTTGGAAAATTCATAAATAATACATAAACTTTTAATTTTTCTTGTATGCAGTTTCTGCCAGTGCCAGAGTTGATGCCTTTCCGTTTGACTCGCCAGTTTATTAATTTGATGTTGCCCATGAAGGAATTGGGTCTTCTTTACAATGTGATGGTGCATTCCTTAAGAGCCTACCGTGCAGATCAAGATTTTCTCATTAATACTATGGATGTGTTTGTGAAGGAGCCTTCCTTAGATTGGAAAGTAGGTTCTTATTTTCATCCCGGTTTGTCTAAGCAAAGTGAAGACGAATGGTTATGTGAATGCTGTAAGGTAGGGGGTAGCCATTGTGTTGACCACCAGACATAGTTGGACTCCCATCATTCTTGGCTACAGGCCATGCTAGCTGGGGCTGATGGGAACTAGAGTCCGGCAACATTGGCTACCTCTGCTGTAAGGAAAAGAGTGACTTGTAAAACTTCCTATTTGGTACACAGTGATATAGTTGCAGTTTCCCAATGTTAGGTTGCATTGTTGTGTTTGTGGCAGGGAAGGCTTGCCACAAACAGTGCATATGCCAGGAGGATTGAGATGGGAAAGAGAGGAAAGAAATTATGGGTGGGAATACCATTCATGAGAGCAGGGATTTAGGGAGGGAGGAAAGTGGGGTTAGGAGTTGGATAATGGGGGGAGGAAGAAAGATCTGGCTTAGACGAGGTAGGGATGGTTTGAGAAGTGAGTTGTTGATCAACAGATACAGAATGTAATGAAGAATGCCCCACAGTCTATTGCTTTGGGGTAGGTCAGGGGGGACAATTACATACTTAAGTATTAGCCAAAAGTTTGGGTGAAAACTCACGTTTTTAAACAATTCATTACACAAAGTACCGTATTTTTTGCTCTATAGCAGTGTTTCCCAACCTTTTTTGGGCAAAGGCACACTTGTTTCATGAAAAAAATCTCGAGGCACACCGCCATTAGAAAATGTTAAAAAATTTAACTCTGTGCCTATATTGACTATATAAAAAGTACAGTGGTGCCTCGCAAGACGAAATTAATTCGTTCCGCAACTCTCTTCGTCTTGCGAGTTTTTCGTCTTGCGATGCACGGTTTCCCATAGGAATGCATTGAAAATCAATTAATGCGTTCCTAGGGAAACCGCCTTCAGACCAGGTCCGGGGACAGTCTGTCCCCCGACCTCTTCTGAAGGCTGGGGGGGGGGGACAAGGGCTTTTCTTCCCACTGCCAGCCTTCAGAAGGCTGTTCTGAAGGCTGGCGGTGGGAAGAAAAGCCCTTCTTCCCACCTCCCGCCCCGCAAGCTCCGGGGACAGGAGGGCTTTGCTGCCAACCGCCAGCATTTTAAAAGCCCCTGCTGTCCCGGGGCGATTTTAAAATGCTGGCGGGTGGGAGCGAAGTCTCCGCTGCCCCGAGGAGATTTTAAAATGCTGGGGGTCGGCAGCGAACGCTTCGCTCCCACCCGCCAGCATTTTAAGATCGCCCGGGGCAGCGGAGAAGTCTCCGCTGTCCCGGGAAGGCAGGCGGGGGGAGCAAAGACTTTTGCCCCCGCCTGCCTTCAGAAGAGGTCCAGGACCTCGTTCCGATGCCGGGCGGCGGGGTGCGAGGTTCCCGCCCCACCGCCCGGCATCGGGGCATCGTTCCGATGCCCGGCGGCGGGGTGCGAGGTTCCCGCCCCACCGCCCGGCATCGGGGCATCGTTCCGATGCCCGGCGGCGGGGGGAGAGGTTCCCGCCCCACCGCCCGGCATCGGGGCATCGTTCCGATGCCCGGCGGCGGGGGGAGAGGTTCCCGCCCCACCGCCCAGCATCGGGGCATCGTTCCGATGCCCGGCGGCAGGGTGCGAGGTTCCCGCCCCACCGCCCCGCTTCGGAGCAGCGCTCCGAAGCGGGGCGGCTGGGGCAGATGTTCCCGCCCCACCGCCCCGCTTCGGAGCAGCGTTCTGAAGCGGGGCAGCTGGGGCAGGTGTTCCCGCCCCCCCGCCCCGCTTCGGAGCAGCGTTCCGAAGCGGGGCGGCTGGGGCAGGTGTTCCTGCCCCCCGCCCCGCTTCGGAGCACCGGGAGAAGCGATCTCCCTGCAGCCCCTTGCTTCAAAAGAGGTCCGGGGGCAGCGGGGAAGAAGCGCTGCACTTCCCGCTGCCCCCGGACCTCTTTTGAAGCAAGGGGCTGCGGGGAGATCGCTTCTCCCCGCAAACCCTTGCTTCAAAAGAGGTCCGGGGGCAGCGCGAAGCGCTTCCCGCTGTCCCCGGACCTCTTTTGAAGCAAGGGGCGGTGGGGAGAAGCGATCTCGGGCGCCGCGGCGCGCAGGCGCACTGCTCGCTCCTCTTTCCGCGCAGGCGCCTTCTCTCGCTCTTTCGCCTCCTTTTCTTTCTCTCTCGATGGTCCGCCTACAAAGGAGCGAGGGAGGCGCCCGCCATGTTTGGATTTGCATCCAGCAGGAGATGCCGCCGCCGCCCCGCCTCTCCCGCCTCCCTCCCACGGCACACCAGGCAAGGTCTCACGGCACACTGGTGTGCCGCGGAACACCGGTTGGGAAACACTGCTCTATAGGATGCACCCGACCATAGGACGCACCTTGTTTTAGAGGGGGAGAACAAGAAAAAAACTCCCCCTCTCTGCTCAGAGCCCCTTCCATTTCTCCTGTTGCTTCGCTGAAGGGGCGCTGCACAGAGAGGGGGAGATTTTTTTCTTGTTCTTCCCCTCTAAAACAAGGTGCGTTCTGTGTGTTCAAGGTGCGTTCACCTGAAGCCTCCAGAGCGCAACGGGAGTTCCCACTGGGCTCCGGAGACTTCAGGTTCCTTTCGACCTGCTCTTTGGGGATGGCGGAGGAAAGCGCTGCTTTCCCCCAGCGCCAGCCTCAAAGACCAGGTCGGGGAACAGCGCAAAGGCTGCACACAGCCTTTTCACTGCCCCCCGAGCTTGTGGAGCTGGCGGTGGGGGGGAAGCGCTGCTTTCCCCCACTGCCAGCCTCAAAGATCCCTGATGCCTTCAGAGCGCAGTGTGAGTTCCTGCTGCGCTCCGCAGGCTTCGGGTTCCTTTTGCTGAAGCCAGGAGAGTCTTGCTCTCCCAGCTTCAGCAAAAGGAACCTGAAGCCTGCGGAGCGCTGTGCTCTGAAGGCTTCAGACGGCCATCCCTGAAGCCTGGAGAGCGGTGGTTTGTAGCTCATTAGTCATTTTTAGAAAACACTTCATTCAAGAGTGTGCAGCCTTCCAATGCTACCTTAGCACTGCTGGAACTCATGAAGTACTCATTCCATGCCAGCCTGATAAAGTAAGAAATCCAGGCACTCACCCACAGTTCCTTTTGACAGCAGCATCACCTGTACCATAATCTGGAACAAAGCTAACATGGGAAGGAGCCACCCATAAGGACTACTCCCATACAACCAGGACCTACCATAGCAGCATGGCGAGGGCACACACTGCAGGGTTCCCACTGTGAACAATCAGAAGGGCTTCAGAAGGGAGGAATTGCCTGACAGTCCTTTGAAGGAGCTTAAAACAACATTTTAAAATAAGATTGACTACTATCGTTATCTTTACATCATTACTCTTCCAGTCAGTTATTAGAAAAGTGTGCACTTTCTGTATTGAAAATCTAAGCAATACTAAAGTAACCATAATGCCATTTTCCTATCATTTTTACCATATTCACGCCCCCTCAAATATCTAAATATCAGGCATGTCTGTCATGCCTTGTACTTAATATCATGCCTTATGCTGTGATGTATACTGTGAAGACTACAGTATTGTTTTTCATGATTGGGTATATGCCATTTCTTTCCAGAATTTTGAATTGAAGCAGTTGAAAAAAGGAGGCACATGGACTAAGGAAATAAATACAGAGGAGATTAATTGGTACCCCATTCAAAAAGTAAATTTTGCAAGAAGAAAATTAGCAGGTGCTAATCCAGCAGTGATTACCAGGTATATGTTGCTCTCAAGTGTCGATTTGCTTTCCTAAATGAGGCTGTGTGCAAGCACAGAACTCAAAGTGTGTGACTGAATAGAAACAAAAATGAAGAATTGCTGGGGACCTGCAGTAATTATCTAGGTAAAATTGGAAGTTGAGCACCTTGGTGCATTTGCAGAAAGGAAGCTCACATTTTAAAAAATAAAGCATACCGTATTTTTCGCACGATTGGACGCACCGGACCATAGGACGCACCTAGTTTTTGGGGGGGAAATAAAGGGAAAAAAATTCCCCTTTATTTCCCCCCCAAAAGCAGGTCAGGGAAACCGAACCAGGTCGAGGAACAGCGGGATAGTGGCGCTGCGCCTCCCTGCTGTCCCCCGAGCTTGTGGGGCTGGCTGATGTCTGCCTGGCGCGCGGGGCGCTCTGCTTCAGGGCGCCCCACCCGCCGGGCGGCAGGCTGCTATCCGCAGCGTGGGGAGCCCTGCAGGGAACTCCTGCAAGGCTCCCCACGCTGCGGATGTCTGCCCGGCGAGAGGGGCGCTCTGCTTCAGGGCGCCCCACCCGCCAGGCAGCAGGTTTATCCGCAGCGTGGGGAGCCCTGTGGGGAACTCCTGCAGGGCTCCCCACTCTGCGGATGTCTGCCTGGCACGAGAGGCGCTCTGCTTCAGGGCGCCCCACCCGCCAGGCAGCAGGCTGCTATCCGCAGCGTGGGGAGCCC